GAGGAAGAGAGAGGGAGAGGGAGGGAGGGAAGGGGAGAGAGAGAGGGAGGAAGGGGAGAGAGAGGGGAGGGAAGGGAGAGAGAGAGGGGAGGAAGAGGGAGAGAGGGGAGAGGGGGGAGGGAAGGGGGAGAGAGGAGGGAGGGAAGGGGGAGAGAGGGGGAGGGAAGGGGAGAGAGAGGGGGAGGGAAGGGGAGGAAGGGGGAGAAGAGGGGGGAGGAAGGGAGAGAGAGGGGAGGAAGGGGAGGAGAGGGGAGGGAAGGGAGAGAGAGGGGAGGGAAGGGAGAGAGAGGGGGAGAGAAGGGGAGGGAAGGGGAGAGAGAGAGGGGGAGGGAAGGGAGAGAGAGAGAGAGAGGGGAGGGAAGGGGGAGGGAAGGGGAGAGAGAGGGGGAGGGAAGGGGAGGGAAGGGAGAGAGAGGGAGAGAGAGGGGAGGGAAGGGGAGGGAAGGGGAGAGAGGGGGGAGGAAGGGGAGAGAGAGAGGAGAGGGAGGGAAGGGGAGAAGGAGAGAGAGAGGGGGAGGGAAGGGAGAGAGAGAGAGAGAGGGGAGGGAAGGGGAGAGAGAGAGAGAGGGGAGGAAGGGGAGAGAGAGAGAGAGAGGGGGAGGGAAGGGGGAGAGAGAGAGAGAGAGGGGAGGAAGGGGGGAGAGAGAGAGAGGGGAGGAAGGGGGAGAAGAGAGAGAGAGAGAGAGAGAGAGAGAGAGAGAGAGAGAGAGAGAGAGAGAGAGAGAGGAGAGAGAGAGAGAGAGAGAGAGAGAGAGAGAGAGAATGTTTTTTCGAATGTTAAGTAGTTATCTCTAATGCATGTCTAATGTATGATCAGGTCATAAAGGGAGTTTCTTTCAATTCTTTTAGGAAAGGATGAATTGTAGCCCATTTATATTACGAACTAGAGCATAAGTCTCTCCCACCAACATTACCAATTGGCCAATAGGTAAAAACAAGATGCTGGGCGATAATTTGGCTCTGTTCACATTCCTTAAGTTTTACATTGATTGTGATGATTAGCTAGATGTTCTACTTGGTACAGATTATCTAGTGTTTACTGTACAACTAGTACTACCACTAACTTCAGCAATCTACAGGAAATGAACTGAGTTAACTGTATTAATACTCCAACTCCATTAAGATTTTAATTGTTATGATACTGCTCATTTGTGACCAGCATACACTAAATTTTGTAAACATCTCAAGGAAATAACTAACTGAAAACTGTATAAATTTAAGGATCCATTACAATTAGTAGGATATAAGATGTGTATAAAGGGGTGGGAAGGGGCACTTTCAATTTTCTGACTTTCTTTTATATTCTGTTCATATTTTCTTGTGTAACATGTATGAGACACTCATACTTAGCTACCTGTACCTTACATGTACAACTCATAGGATTATCATTTAAAAAATCTCGTTTATTTTCTCTATATTTTATTTCAAGCAAAGCATCTCTCATTTCTTGATTATGGGTCCTTAAACAATACTGTGTTTCCAGAAGCTATTTCTGTACATTTTCAACATAAGTAAACTACACTACATATACTAACACAAGCATAACATACTTCATAAAACACTTGTCACAATCTACTTACTTAGGAGAGGGTGGGGGGGAAGAGTCCCCATTCACTAGGTGCTGAGCCCTTACTTCCCTCGACTCCTGTCTTTCTCTCTGTTCACGATTCATCTCACGGTGAGCACGGGACTCCCTAGGCCCTTTTGTGATCCAGCCATCTGCATCCACTTTCTCTTCTTTCCACTGCCGTGATGGAACAGGCCTGTTCTCTTTTCCAGTACGAGTGTTGCTATCACGGCCAAGTCTGTGATCACGATCTCTACCCATTCCTGATCGACCAGATTCCCTCTGTGAAAAATCTCTCTGATGGTCCCGAGTATAATCTCGCCTATCTTTCATCCCACTATTAGGTACTGTCCGTTTGTCTTCCCGGCCTCCTCGCTGCTCCCTAGGTACAGGTCTTGTCTCCAATTTATTAATACTACTGCTGCTGCTGCTGCTGCTGCTACTGCTGCTGCTACTAGCAACTACATTACTGGTGGTATTTGAAGTTGTAGACGAGGAAACTGTGGAACAGCTAGAGGATAATGAAACTGTGGTTGGTGCTGTGCTTAGAACATCTTGAGATGATGGTAAAGTGGTAGTAGTAGATGAGGTTTGACTAGCTTGGGTAGTAGCTGCTGTGGATGGTGGAGTTGAGGCTACTGGAGGTACTGCAGCTGCAGAAACTGAAGGGGCAGGAGAAGTACTGCTGGAGGGAATAGAGGGTTCTAAAGGCAAATCCTTCTCTCCCACAGAGGATTGTGATGGTGCACGGGGTTTTGCGGTTCCTTTCATTACATCTGAGAAACGCTGAGTGTCACTTCCCCATGCAGAAGGCAGTGATTCAGGCTGTCTCTTTTCTTCTGCAACTGGAACTTGCTCATCAGAACCTGCAAAATGCATCATGTATTAATACACAAAATTTTTCTTTACATGAAGTGGTTGTCTCTACATCTAAACCTGTAATCTTCAAAATCATTACTGAAGGCAAGTTTTCCCTATGACAAATATTGCAAATGCAGCTACAAAACACATCTGCACTTTGGATGCATGTGGAAGGGGACCCACCATAATAACAGACCTGAGGTACACAGGCCCAAAAAGTTAAGAACCACTATTTTGGTGTATTCTAAAGAGAATGTGACCTATAAAATCAACTTTGACAATCAATGTCAAATTTTGCAAAGAGGTTTGTTTGTCACCTGGAAGTGGGGGAAAAGCTGCAGCCTCAAGGTCAAACTGTGGCTGTGGTGGTTGTGGAGGAGGAGTTGCTTCTTGGCTATTTCCCTGTTTTGTGTTGTCATTGCTAGGAGGCTGTGTGGAACCTCCTCGTTGAGGCATACTACGGTTACCACCACTTGTCTGGGTCTCCTCTTCCCGACCTCGTGGTCGTCGGCGAACACCACGAGACCTGGGGCAAAACCAGTTTTTGAAACTGGATTTCACAAGTAAATAGGCCAATTATATGCTACTCTTATTTACAAAGTCTACAACTAGATCTATTTTTTTTTTTTTTTTTTTTTTTAAAGCACAAGTGTGTTAGCATATCATTAAGAAAAGCCTACTCACAATTGTCTTGGCTGTTGAGGGTCCCTAGGTCCAGGGTGGTATTGATAATGACCATGATAATGGTCATTATTGTAGCTGTTCCGGTGCGGCGGACCAGGAGCCTGATGTTGAGCATGATGCTGCTGCTGTGTGGGTCCATGTGCCTGGTGCTGCTGGGCTGGTTGATGTGAGGTACTTGTGGTGGTAGCAACACTGACTGTGGCTGCTGAAGTTGTTGATGCAACAGTGGCAGACACACTTGCTACAGTAGTTGTGGATACTGAGGAATTGAGCATAGAGGTACTGGAGAAGGGAGGACTGGCAGTAGTGGTATGCACAGGCGTCTGTGCTAATGACACAGGTGATGGGCTACTGCTACTAGATGCCTTGGACACTGTAACCACTTCTTTCTTTTCAGCCCGGATCACAGGTGTTGCTGGACCCGTTGGGGGGCTAAATGATGTGTATAAGTTAGACTGACTAGCTATTGCGAGATCGCACTGAGCAAAGCTCTGGTTATTGGTTCCAGCTGATGTTGCTGCTGATGGCTGTGGTGGAGGAGGAGGTGGAGGGGGAGGAGGGGCAGTAGTGCTAGTGGGAGGCTGGGAATTCCTGTGTGCAGACTGGGATGGGGACTGAGAGGACTGTGGTCTATGGTGGGGATGCGGCCTCTGCGGTGGATAATGTGGGAAGTGATTTTGATGATTCCCATGATTGTTGCTATTCCCTCCGCTTCCTTGGCCAGCCCCACTATTATGACGGTTGTCAACCTTATCATATCTGCCATCACGATGTTTTGAATTCCTGGAAGGATACCTACATATTAATTTTACTCTGGCTGACTCATGCTACATGTATTTGTATTGTATATGTATACAATGACAGACATAAAGAAGACTTACCTTCTGTTACCGTTATATCTAACATTATGGTTACTTGGGGGCTTGAAGGCAGCTTGTGGTGAGAGTCCATTGAACTGCAGAAACCCGTTGATGTCATAGAACCCACCTGGGGCTGTCCACTGCACCATGTTTGGGTAGAACTGAAAAAAATTGATCTCTTATTAGACTAATCATCTATCAGTTCTGAAATATTTCATGATTTTCATCTAGCAATCAGCATCTCAAAACACATATCTCAAGCTCTAAGGAATGGAGTAAGAGTGAGATTGACAAAAATATCCTATTAGAATATTATCAGAATATTTTCCTTTGTAGATCAGCCCTACAACAAATCAAAGAATTAAATGAACCAAAAATTAAACTAATTAAAGTTGAAGAATCTATATTAATACATTCCTTAACCTTTAACAATCAAGTATGTGCCTGATAAATGCAGAAAGAACAAGCAGTCAATGAACCATTAACAGGATTAACTCATTTGAGAAACTGAAGTAGCTGCAGTTTTCCAGATCCTCTCTGAGAGGGAAAGGACAAATCCACGAGTGAAATACATATACTAATCAATGTGAAGTTTTCTGTCCACATTGCAGGATTTACATCAACAGCTACCAATTAATTCTTTTACCCATTCATGACAAACATTCCCTTAACTATACAGTAAAAATTAGAAGTCTGGGAAACAAATCTACTCTCTGCACTGGCTGCACACTTGGATATTGCCAAAAACTGTTAAGTGCAAACAACTTAAAAGCTGCATGTGGCATAGATACTTGCCATCCAGCATTTTGACCTGGTTTGCCATGACATGATTTGCATCTTCTAGCATGAATGGGTTGAACAGCTAAGAGCATTCATTATGATCATTATCAATAATAATACATAACCTTTGCTTGGCTACCAAAAACTCTCCTGAATTAAAAAAAGGAATTTAGTAGCTCCATTGCTGAGACCTGTTGCAGTCACTACTGGACTGCAAGGTTTCAAATTCAAAAGCAAGTTTAAATGTGAATATGTAAAGAGGCTTTCACAGTTAGAATAACTAACAAGTTCACTGATACAAATATACACAAGTACCCAACATTACAAATGACAACTATATTACAAAATATAAGAATATATCCTGCTCCAGTATAAATTAATACTTCTGAGGATAACTACCTTGCCATCTAGATTCTGCAACTTTCAGAAGTCCATTACTGTCTGCTGAAAGAGCAGCATACCAGATCAGCAAGAGAAATGTTCTGGTTTGAAAGAAGTATGCACAATAAAGAAACAACAAAAATTGTAAATTACTTACAAAGGCAGCTGGCGTTGTGTAAGAATATGTGTACGAGTTGGCAGTAACAGTTGAAGGCGTTGATGAATACATAAACCGCTGTCCCCCGGGGTTGTTGAAATTGGTATTTGGGGCAGGGGTCCCAGGTCCTCCCGGTAACCCAGCTGAACCTGGGGTTGAGGGAGGACCAGATCCTTCCTTCCCCTCACCTCCACCTTTATTTCCATATGATGGTAATACTGATAAACAACCTAGTCTGGACACTGGTTTTGTCTTTATTCTAGCAAGGATGGGCTTATCCTGAAATAAGGAAACATTTTTTGTTTTGGAATACAGAAATGAAAAATCAACAGCATTTCAAAGCACATTAACACAACCTTTGTTATAACACATCACTAAGTAATATCCTAATGAATAACAAATAGTTTTTATCATATATACAAATATGTACAACAAAATCTTTAGATAGACACCATACCTTGAAAGTCTTGACGACACCTCGGAGGTACCAATATGCTTTTTGTGCGTCTTCGTCAGATTCAAACGTAACATACCAAGAAGAATTGTGAACAAATTCACAGGAAACTACCTTAGGGCACTCGTCACTTTTGAACATTGCCTGTAAGAGAAGTACACATGTCTATTACACTCTAACCTGGTGTACTGGGACCACAACAATAACCAGAAAAGTATCTTAATAAATCAATCATCAATCATGTTAGTAATGCATGGTCAAAAGTTTATACCAAGGGAACAGTGGTTTCAAACTTACAGCTTAGTAATTTGAGTAAAGACAATATTCTCAAACAAGATAGCATATCAAACAGCACCATAGATCAGTCTCTTAATCATATGGAGACCTCATGTACACATATATGACTAAACTTTCATTGGTTATCCTGTACATACCTCAATCTCTTCAACTGGAGTAGACTCAGGAATTTCTCTTAGAATCACAATGCATCTTTTATAGTTGGGTCGAACTCTGTTATTTTCTTCGTCTAGCTGGACAAAAGGCGATTCTGTAAATTTGATGAAGAATATATATAAACCTTTGAGCTATTTTGCTTGAAAAACATGTAATGGATGTGCTAACAAACACTGGCGAGTAAAAAATTCAAAATGTTGATTTTCAAAGATCCCTTATGGTTTCTTGTGCCTCACAATTAGCCAAACAAGTATAGCACTAGGGTAAATTCATACCTTTGAGAGCTTCTACAATAATGCTGTGGTCCTTAGTGATGCTCTTAAACTGTGAGCAATTGGCCAATATATAAACTGGCACATACTGGTCACTGTCCATCTGAGAGATCAGGTATGGGTCGTTGCTCAGGTTCTCCCTGAAAGAGATGCTGCTTTTACACATACTGAAACTCATTTCTATTGGAACAAAAACTGTTTTACTGCAAAAATATAATAACTTATTACATTTTGATAAACAAAAACAATGAATTTATATCCTTTAAACAGGTCTGTTACTACAATCAGTTGATTATTTGCTATATGTGCAACAAATAAATTACTGAGCAGTTTTCCTTTGGCACTCAATCTGCCATATAGCCATATTTTAAGAGGTTACATGGAAACGATGAGTGCAAAACTTAAACCTACCATATCTACAAGCTTAGACCCCCCCCCCTTTTAAACTCCACCCTATCCCAATCTGAATTTAATAGTCTACAGTTTATGGCTAACCCTAAAAATTGCAAAGAGCAGCCTGTATTAGGTAATATGCAACCACATCTGAGGTTAATGCTAGAGATCATGATGTTGGACACACCTTGTAAAAAATATATAGCACATGTTATCTCTGTCAAGGTCTGAAAGTGTGGGTCATGACAAGAAAAATATTCCTGCATTCTACATGAAGGCAAATCTGTTGTCATTACTATCAGTGCTCCAGAGAAGAAAATAAAAAGAAGAATAACTATTACAGCCTTTACTCACCTAGAAAAGAAATATTCCACTTGCTGTGCCACCAACTGCTGTATCTGGTCCCGGGTGAGTTGCTGAGGCTGCTGGGTGGGCTGCTGTTGTGGTTGTGCTGGAGGGGTTGCCGTGGGCGTACTCGGAGTGGGAGTCTGTGCTGGTGTTGTCTGTGTGCCCTGTGTCTCGCTTGTAGTTGTGTCTTCTTTGCTGCTACTTTCAGGAATCGGTTCTTCAGGCTTTTCCAGGTTTTCAGTAGAGGGAGCATTGCTACTACTAGAGTCTGGGGTGGGCACTGAGGCAGGGAGGGGGGAGGCACTTGGTCGACTGCTCTCGGGAGACACTTCCCCATTCTGCTGGCTGCTGCCCAGGGGAGTGCATGCCTTAGCATTCCCCTCTTGATCTGCATTCTGTCCAGCTGCTGCCATGTCTTGAACTGTGTCGTCAACTTGCACAGCTTTACCAGGGGCTTGGCTTGTGGGACCACTGGTGCCACTAGTTGTGTCTGGGGAGGAGCTACAGGGCTCCACTGGAGACTCTACTGCCATGGGTCCAGGAGTATCAGGAGTGTGGGGGCAAACCCCACAATACTGCTTGCCAACATCCCCATTCATCAAGGGGTAAACTGGAATGTAATAAAAGAGTAAATTATTATCATCCATAATGTTATGGCTATCTATAACCAACAATGAATACCTATAAACTTTTAAATCATATGATTAATAAAGTTTAGCTGCAACAGTATCTTCCAAAATGAGAAAAATTGCAGCTTTCTTTCATCTAACAGAAATGTCTACAACCATCATATATATATCCAAAAAACAAACACCTCATTCTATGATTTAACCGTAACATGCCTTCAACATAGATCTTCCTGATCTTTTATGACCTGAATACATCTTGCAACTAACTGCCACTGACAAAAGCCTGCATTTTGAGGCCCTTACAATGTGGAATACAAAAGCTTTTAACCCTTAGTCATGAAGATACCTAAATAGTGTCATTATTGCATTGAACCAGTTTACCATTTTCAGATAAAATCAATCTGACAGATGATGGACAAGTCTTGAGTGTCGTATATGACCTCCCACTGTGTCAGAATACTGGTTTAGAGGGGTGATTGGGTAAGGGAGTATTCTATATTTATATGAATGTTATCTCCTCCCTTAGGGATACTGGACCAATATTCACATAGGGCCTGTGACTGTTCTTTGCAATTTCTTCAATGATTTGCATTACTGTTACATCTTGAAAGTTAACCCTGCTACTTCCCCCACCATTAGACAAATATTTGCTGCCAAATTCATACTAATGAAAGTTAGACATTTTAGCCATTGGAGTGTAAAGGCTCGGTTTAACTGTTTTTGTCTAGGACCTGACTTGTGTCCAAGTGCCTAGCCAAGTGTAATGTTTCAACTGTGAAAAGCACCATCGTACTAGACCGCACATGCCTCTTGCTTGAATAACACTGCACACAGTACTTCTAGTTTGAGCAACATGGAGTACAACGACTTATTCCCTGTTTTCACCATTGTTTCATGTTTCATGGAGTAATTCCTTAAAGAGAGAACAGAAACTGATTTACAGATTCAAATTCATCATCACTAGTCTAATGGGCGAGTGGAGATCCTGTTTCAACTTCGCCATTTCTTGTTTATTTGTTTTTTGGCAATGAAAAACAAATTATGATAATTTCCTCTAAATATTTCATATAAAATCTTGAATTTAACTTTTGTTAACTTTATAGATAAAAATATTGATAATTTCTTTTAGTAAATTACAGAAAATAGCTTTTAATTACACCCTGGAAAGCCTGCATATACCAAAGGAAAAGAATGCTATAGGTCAGGTTATCCTTAGCTTTCCTCAGCCCTTAGATTTTGTACCAAAGTGATGCGATTTGGCCCAAATTGCTGCGCTCACGGCCAGACGTGTGTGTACACAAGGCCAGTTGAACTGCACCTAAGGGCCCTCACAGACAATAGACTGCCTATTTTAACCATGAATTTCTTCCTAACATTGATCCATAATTCTCAGAACAAAGGCTGGGGAAATTACTTTTGTCAGTACTGGGCACAAGTCAGTTGCTATTTGTCCAATTCTAATTTAGAGAGCACAAACAGTGTGAGCGTTCCAAATAATAAAAAATGTGCATGCCGATTATATTTTCTTTTTTTAAGTTTGAAAAACAGTCTTCACTGAATATCTTTCAAATTAATTTCTACACAAAACTATAGGAGTAATCTTAACATATATGTTATTGGAAAGTTTCCTACTATATATGGTTTCTCTTGTATTTTTTTCATGGACCACTGTTGTAACAATATATCTACTGTAAGTGTTTTCATATTTTGCACTTTTTTTTTCTTCTCTTCTAGAAATTAATGGATTATGAATGAATTTTAGCTGAAAATATGTATGTAAAAGTAGAGATATCATATAGCAATTTTATCTACACCTACCTATAAATAAGGATGATGGAAATTTCCACTGATGGTCCCTAAACCCTTTTAGTCAAGATGAAATAAAGTGAGTGACCTGACCTCTATAACTGCATAAACAAAATCATAAAGCCAATATACAACATTATAAATAATATCCATACAGAGGTTGAAACCATTCGACTTTAACAGGCTAATGAATGCAGCCTCTTAACAAAACTGAAGACCAGTTTCATTCAGATATATTTCTTTCTACCTACAGGCCCTGGGAATTCACTTGGCAAAGGCTGATAATCATATTAGTAATCACAGTTAATGTGCTTTTACATTTTTTATCCATAGTATTACTTTATCTCTATCCTACACATATATAAATCTCACTGATGCAGAAAAAACTCTTATATGCTATAGAAGGTTATTGTTTTGTATAGTCCTTATGATAAAACAAAAAACAATAACTGGATGGCTATACTTTTTTCTTAGAAATAATAAAAAAAAACGAATTAGACCATCTACATCTTGTCTGAGTATGTAACAATAAGTGAATGTGCAAATGAATGTTATTTATCTCAATTGCATACTTATTTAGAATAATTTCTATGCCATAGCTTGCCAAAACTACATATCTGAATTTCTCAAAACAAGACAACAAACAAATTGATACAAGTACTTGTTTATGAATAAACCAATACAAGTTACACAGATGTAATACTTAAATAAATGAATAATTTTCAATTGTTTCCATTCTGTACTCAATAGCATCAAGTGCTTGTTTGATAATATTCTGAAATGTGCGAACCATTATTGTACAATTTATTCTTGTCTATAGGATTGCAATTTTTCACATCACAAATGTACTTTTATTTCCCAAACTTAAGTTAAATTAAACATGCCCTATGCTGTAGTAATTTGTTTCATACAATAAATGGTTTACTACAAAAAAATTACTTGCTTATCCCAAGTTTTCAAATGTGTATGAACTGTGTATGAATTGTTTAGTTCTGTATGATTGCCAGATTCTTGAAACATTTGCTCATATTTAGTGTTACTTGTAAGAATGGTGATGATCTATATCTCTACAATTCTGATCATGAACATCACCAATTGACTGATAAAGAGAACCTGCATATCAGTCACCTTCAAAACTTGCTAATAATGTCATTAAATGGCAACATGAAGTGCAATGGTTAATGCTTATCTTTCTTATACCTTTTGCATTTTTTACCTATTAGTTCAGCATGAAAAAACTATCACGAACAATTACATCAAAAGGGAAAAACTTAAAACTTCAACACTTGCAATACTTCATGGCTGTTTTGAAAATATATATGATTTGCCTATACAGAGCTGAACTTCGCTTTACCTTATATAAACCTCTTTATAGAAAAAAAGAATATAAATAAAGACAAAAAACATTCTGAATTGTCCAACTCCATACTAATATTCATCTTATTTTCAGGATTATATAATGTAATTCTCATTGTCCCTAAAAACAGAGCAGGCAAAGAAGAGCTAAAGTTTGGCTACCCCCAGTTCCCCTAATTCTGGATTTAGGTATGGCCAAAAAGGGTAAAAATCTAGGATTTCAGTTTGATTCCAAAGTTAGACACACCTAGTAGACAAAAATATCAACTAAAGCTCCCATGTTCTAGGATGACCAAGTTTTGGATGGTACAAGTTTTCAATTGGTTTAGTTAGTGAGTAAGTTTGGTACACCACCTCTCATGGCACAGTTGAGGGAGAGGCCCATGAATGAAGAATTATCAAATATGAAAAACTAAGTGGCTCTAACAACACTGTAGCAATATTAACAATTATGCAATATCAAGCCCTAACATAAAGTCAAAACATCTGGAAATGGACAAACTATTTACATTCCACATCATCATTTATACAGTCAAACTAACTTGTCATCTTGGTATTTTCCAGAATAGCCATCAAAGTTATTATTAAATCACATTAAAGTTTCCAAATGGTAAATTAACTGTTTTAGATAGAGATAACAAGATCTCAATAGGATATAGAGTAAAATCACTAAGGACAAGTTGTAGATTAAAGTACTTACGATAACTGAATATATCTTATTTTGCCAATACAGCCTTTGGTTTCATACAAACAGATTTGGTTCATTTTGATGAGGACAGTGCCAAAGATATACATTATATATATAAATAAATATAGATATTATGCCCTTAAATATCTGAAAAGGATAAGAAAGTCTATAATGATCTTTCAAATATACTCCCACTGACTCAAGCACTCACTCATGTTTTGGCACTTTGGCAAAAGACAATAAAGCACAACAGACTTCTGGCAGGACAAAGCTTGCAGGCCACTTTTGTGGTCTGCTGTCATATAAGGGGAGTTAGTCTATGATATGTCTTGCAAAATAAAAGTAGTGGAGGTTTGTTGACCTCTAGCATAAAACTGAAGGCATGGAGGCCATGGTAATTGTAGGAATTGGTCTTGAGTAGCAGCAGTCCTCAAGAGTTATATGTTAACAATATTGTATATGAACTACAAAAGGATGTCAAATACAGGGATTCATATGCAAACTGGATGTCTATTTTCGGTCTATTCATAGACAACTTATCCTTTATGTCTAGTGTTTTGTCCAATTTACAGCTACATCAAAACAGTATTTTATCTATTACAGGTTAATAATTTGTTGGAAATTGAATAATCTAAAATAACTGCAGTAGGATTAGAAAAGTGGCAAATGTTCTGAGCAACTGCAAAGTTAGAGAAAAGCCAAGGTGACATACATTTTCATGAATGACAGTATATGGAACCGATAAACTGATTCCTTCGCAAACTGAAAATTTAGAAATATGACACTTCCAGGAGCTATTTCAATCTTCATCCCTGACTGGTAAATGAATTGACTGATACAATTCTGTTTAAGCTGATTGATATGAGCAGGCAAGAAATATCGGAAATGAAGTAAATAGGCTGTGGCAAATGCTGAAAGGAGACCCAGTCCCAAGCAATCAGGTGCTTGTTGGAGGCCAAAGCCCCATTTTGGAAAGGTGAGTGTTTCATATAGCGATGTTTATGAATTTATAGGCAAGTACCCAAGGTTTGGCTAGAGTAATAGGGGATTTAGTTTCGGTAGGGTGCGGTCACTTCATAAACAAATACGAATTCATCTACAGCACATAACCAATGAAAACTGCTTTTCAATCTATCAGTTAACCATAAGGACTATTTCATATTACTGTTCAGGATATTTTACAGTTCAACTAATAGAGGCAGTCCTGAGCTGGATCTTGTATCATGAAGCAATAGTATAAGATAACTGTAATGGTTTTGGTGCAGCATTCACACTTATGATACACACGAGGTTGATCCTAAAATAAGAAACCATTCTAAGGGCTAACTGTTTACCTTAAACTGTAGTGCCATGAGGCATAAAAGGAAAAAACAAAAACAAAAATCTAAAAATTCACAAAACATCTCATCAAAACAGGACTTATCGACCTTTACGGCAATTTTTGGTCAATTTTGATATCACTTGCTGGAGTCTATTCTTACTCCAAGTAATTACAAAACTAATTAAAAAGATATATTGTAGTTGTGGCAAAATAAAAACAGGGTCTTGCAAACTATGTCTCTAACAAACTGCTAACATATTTAACTTACGTGTAACAAAATATTGGTATTCAAATGTTCTTTGAAATTAAGCATATCTCCCTACCTTTGTATATCATGCAAGACAGGTTAGTTACATTACAATTTCTGTGACTGATCATTTAACAATCATCTCTTAACTCTCATACAACAATAAAGAGCTACTGTTTTGCATCACCACTGAATCAAAATCCCAAAATTAGTTTGAATCCGCTTCCATTACTAATGTGTTATGTATCAAAATTGTACTGCATTCACAAGCAGTAGTTACCATATGTTTATGACTTAGCATGCTTTGAGAGAAAAACTCTTAAAAAGTAAAAGACATAGGCATACAATGCTTTTTTCATGGAATGGGGGACTTCAACATAAACACAATAACATGTATATGAACACCTAACACCCACTTCTACTAGCAGGAGAAATACATTCATTCGAAAACGTAATTCTCTCTCAATGGCAAATTCGGAGGCACTAGTGAGGCAAAATGAGTCGCCGAGGCCCTCTTTTCCGTCTGGTACAGCATAACCAACATAACACAACAGTGTTTCTCCATACGGAACCTACGCTGAACCCCTCGTGCATAACGTACGCCCCACTTTCCAACCTTAACGCTTATAAATCCTCTCTAAAACACCGATCGTCCATACTAAGAAACTGTATAGCATACCTGCGTAGATTATGATACCGAAAGTGTGAGGGAACTAGCGAGAAATAATACTTTGGCTAGCGTAAACAGCTGTTTCCGTGGTAGTGGTGGTGGTCTGCACAATCTATTTCATCATCACTTTTCCTTACATAAAAGGCACCGCGGGCTTGGCACTAAAATCCCACGCTGAGCACAGCAGAGCCACGATGGG